CGATGAAACGTATCACAAACTATAAACGCTTGTGTCGTCAACTGTAAAATTTATTTATAGTTGTATTGAAAATTTGAGTAACTTAATTGGATGTTGATTAATCAAACCATCGTAACAAACTAATTTAGTATGAAAAATTCTTTTTCAACTGACGCGTGTCGTGCAAATACCGATAAAAAAAAAAAATCTTATTATCACTTGCATACGTAAAGCAACGATCGAACGCGTTGAAAATCAATTAAAATTAATTCTCAAAAACAGGCAAGCCGATCCAATGAAATTTTGCCAGCGCCATGAAAAAATCCCCCCGTGGACGCCATTGTGCCGCTCTCGCGTGTGGGTATATTATACACCCAGCGACGGAGAAAAGGACACGAGAGGCTGAAAGATGGGGCGATTGAACCGTTTTATAATAGCGCCGCATCTGCGCGCCCATCAGAGTATATACTTATATATATTATATTTATATACACACGCGTATATAGCGACGACGAGACAGCGGCACTCGATACCCTTCTGCAATAAAACTTTACCCGGTCCATTTTTTTATTTCTCTCTCTCTCTACATATGATATATATATATACACTTACTCACTCGCTTTCTCGGTGTACCATCATACGTATACTTGTAGGTACGCATCGTTCTTGTCTCTATATTATCTAAAATACAATTGTCTTTCTTTTAGGTATCATACGTGATGCGTATGGGAAAAAAAAAAAAAAAAAAAAAAAAAAAGAAGGAAGTAGGTATGGGTGTAGCTCTTGTCTTCCTTTTCTCCTTCCGCGCGGGACTTTGTTACACTTGTACTGCTCCTCTTTTTCAACAAAATGCTTTTGCCAATTCTCACCTTATAACATTATACTGTACACTTGTGCTCTTACGCGCTTCGAGAGGATACGAATGGGAGTTTAGCTATATATGGGTATGCAGTGTGTTTTGCGGGGCGCACGATGGTGATCGCTAATTTTTTGGCTCGTCGAAGTGTGTCGGGCCGCGCGCGTGCTCTAATGGGGGATTCTCGCTTTTGACGAGCCTCTGTGAAACGAGACGCTAACGCGAGCTACTAATTGCTCCGGGGAGCTGTTGCATGTGTTTGCGAAACCTTTGCTCCTTGATTTTCGACCTCAACGATTGTTTTCTCGGGAATCGGTGGTTCTTAAAGCTGACAGAGACCGACTTCCCAAGCGTTCGACGGAGGGTGATTTCGTTTTTGATTTACCTATTTGCTCCGTGGTCCGTGGAACTGGGACGAGCTGTCTATACGTTTAGTTTTTTCTAACATTTTCCTTGAAATTTCAACGAAAATCATGTTCCCGAGGATTCTAGTTTTTTTACAGAAGATACAAGACAGGCTACAAAACAAATTTTTTGTGTCGTACAAGTTAACAAATTGCTTTCTACAATGAGACATTGAGTTGAACGATTTCGGGAACGCGAGAATCACAAGAATTTAATTTAAAGGCTCTAGTTTTAAATTTTAATTATTTATTTCAATTTTTATGAATTAATCAATCAGTCAATAATTATTTGATTGTATAAATTGTATAAAGTAAGTTAATTTTATTCATTTCTATTTGTTTTACGTTTAAAATAACACTATGGTAAAGATATGTAAGAGTTTCTTGTCAAAGTATGAGAGTATAGAGTGTATGTCAACAAAAAAAAAACAAAAAAAGTCTAGCTGATGGACTAGAAAAAACTTTTTGTTTGTTTGAGGGAATCCAAATGGGACAGAAATCTGTGAATTTTGAGAATATAAGCTTCAGTTGTCTATTCCCTTTTTGGAACAATTTTTGACATACCAAATCTTCTTTAAAGGCATTTTTGAGTCACGAGGAAAAGTTACATTTTCCCAATCCTTCGGCAAAACCTGTTTTCGAAATTGTCCGGAAAAACACCATTGCCCAGACAAATATCTTTGGTTAACCATCAAACACTAAGGTGCGTCAAAACTAAAATTCATACAGACAAGGGGTAACAAACAAAAAGAGAAGAAAAAACAATCTTTGACTCACGCAACACGCGATTTATTCCACACTACACATTACAATGAATACTCAACGATCGCCCCAACGGTATACCCTCAGTTCGTCGGAGAACACTCTTTCGACGGACCGCAAATCAATCGATTTTATCTCGTTCGCGACCTCACGCACGCGAAAATTAATAACCGAACGCCAAAGAGAGGGATAGAGACCAACTCGAGCCCAGAGTGACCGCTCGGTACGAGCAATTTAATCGCCGCATGATTAATCTCGCGTTCCACTTTTCCGATCGTATATGAGCATAATTAATCCATGCGATTGAAGTCACGGCTGAAGCAATTTCAAAACTTTGCGATGAAGACCGCCGCCGCGATTACGCGGTTTTACAAGCGACTTGGTTTTTAAAAGTGCAAGGCAACCCTATAACTTAACGCCACTCAGGGCCGAGATCGTCGCTTTACTTCCATAAGCGTCGTCGCCGTTCCGGTAAAGGTTTCCGTTCCCACGTTTACCTCGCTTTTTTTTTCTCCGTCAATTCTACCATATACAATACCTGCAGCGATAATCGTTTGGAAGCATACCGTGTCAGTTGGGTGCACGTTCGCGATTTTTTTTTTTTTTTCTTGCAAGGTAGTATCTGTCGCAGCCGATTTGTCTCCGGACGCTCGATTCTTGGTGGGCTCACTTTTTCCTCTCTTCATTTGTACCGTTGCACCAACTCCTGAGTGTTCGGTACGGAAATACTTGCAGATGCTTATGTTGGAGTTGACGAAAAGTTACACACTTCAATATGAATTTTTTCTAATGTATAAGTTAGGTTGGTGTCAAAGTCATGTGGAATTTTCGATGTGATCGCGAGATCGGAAGTCCTTTGCAAGTAATTAAAATTAAATTATTCCTAACTGTAACCGTTTGGTTTAGGCGTTCGAGGGAGAGAAAAAAAAAAAGGAACCTTTCGAAAAAAGTCAAATCGACAAAAATTGTGTCTTGGTCGCCCTTTGAGTCTCATTGGCTCCAAAGCCGATCGTCGAGGAGGAAACGCGCGTAGAACTGGGTAAATCGCGTATAACCGAGTCGTTGTCGAAACGAAAGACGAAGCTAGAAAAAAATGTCGGGGAAGAACACGAGAAGCATAAAGCGGGGAAACGTCCGAAAAGCAAAAGCGTGACGATCTTTTGTCGAGAGGGACTGACTCGGCTCGTTCGTCGAGCGCATGCAAGTCAAACGACGCATTATTCCTTGACCCGAGTCTCCTTTCATATTCATTAGCATCGCCAGCTATGTTATTACTACGTAGGTACCACTGCCGACTCGTATTTATATAATATGTATTATGGCTGCGCCAACTCTTTGGACCACCATATATAGCGCTCCACCTCGTTTTATATACTTACACACTATTTTGTTTTCCTCTCCCTCATCTCTCTGCAGCTCTTTGTCACCTTCCAGCTTATTCGTCGCTTTCATGCAAACATAATATACTTACACTCTGTTCGCGGTGCACGTGTATAATATAAATAGTATATTTCCAGTTCTTCCTGGCGATTATAGCGTGTACGAACGAAAAAAAAAAAAAAAAAATACAATGCGTCCGTCTCGCCAGCGGTTGGCCAACCGATTCCTAGTGAACCGATCGTTTCGTACATTTGGAAACCTTATCGCCCCGGACGATCGGCCCGTAGTTTACAAGTCGGACCTCGAAGCGGCCGTGTATGTGCTATCGATTGGGTCGCGATCGGCATTTCCGTCATCCGATTTACACTTTCATGCCCGGGATATCTCGGAAGGGCCTGTCGTTGGATTTGGTATTCTAATGAACTACTCACTCGTCCCGTATACAAGGACCTCGAGCCGACCGCTGCTGTAGAACGGTCAACTTTGACCGGTTCTTAACGTGCACCTTTTTTTTTCGTTGTCGAGCCGACGTACATGAAAATCATACGACGGCTTTGTCGATTTTTACCCGAATGCCGTCATGGTAGGAAAAATTTGAGGTTCCGTAATTTAATCACCCTATGGATTTCATTGCGAACAAGCAATGGAACGGTTGACGGCATTGTTTTCGTACCATACTTTTCACCAATATTTTACAGTTTGCAATTCAAAAGACTATACAACTTCCAAGGGTGTCGAGGGTGGTCCAGATTAATAGTTAAAATTTCCCACCTTAGTAGTAAGGTCGATTTTATATTATCGAAAAAAGAAATGACCAAACTCGGCGATATTGATTGATTGATAATTGATTGTCCAAAGTGAAAAATGAACAATCATTTCTGACTTATATAGTATATATGAACCTATATCTGTGATCTGATAAGTTCACCACCGAAATGGTCAAGCTCTATTATATACTCAGAGGATAAGTGACGAAGGGTTTAGTATATCGTTGCGGGTCATGTTAGAGTTAGCTTATATTCTACAACTCGCGGCCTCCGATCGGCTTATCTACTTCCTGCAACACCTACTCAGCCCCTAACTTTTTATCAGGACCACTTTACTCTGTATTATGAATTATTAAACCTTTACGTGAAAAACAATAAAAAAAAACTGATTCAAGCTCCATCATCAAAAGGCGGATACTACAACGGTTGAAAAAAAAAAAAAAAAAAAAAAGTAATGTTACTCGCTCGTTATTACCAATACACACATCGCAGTCGCACAAACGTGGAGGATATCATTGTTTCGCAGCGGATGATTCTTACGTAAAGGCCTCCTGATACCCCACACACTCCCGACTCGTATAGCGCCTAATCACAAGCCTGCAGTTAATACACGCGCGTTGGATGCATCCTGTCTCTCGTGGCCTCCGATACATGTGTACGCCCGAGAGTCCTTTAAAACCGAGAATACAACGCTCGTTGTGCAATTCACCCATCGCATTACTTACGTCTCTCCTGTATGATTTCGTCCTTGAATGTTGTTGTCTTTTTTTTCTAATTTTCATCCAACGCACTCTCACTTTGTGATCCATACCGATATGGACGAGTACCTGATGGCCGCCCTTACTTTTACAGAACAATGGGAGCCACGACGAGGACGGGGCTGCCTTCTTCTGGGACCCGCAGCCGCAGGCCTCCAGGAGCCGTACGAAACTGCTGCAGGACCAGCTCGACCAGGCCACCCTGAGGATCCGGGACCTCGAGTCTGAACTCGCGCTAACGAAATTGGTAATCGCTCGCTTTGTACATTACACATATCACGCGTGGCTCTTTTACCTCTACTGCTGTTTGCGAGAGAGACAAAGAGTCTATTTACCTGTTTCCCAGAGCAAACTCCCCGATGTTTTTTTTTAAACATTTTTTTTATTGCACGGTTCACCGTGAAATCGCTCATTCGCAGATGGACCCAACGAGCGATGCGCACCACCCGAGGGAAGAGGGAGTCTCGCAGAGAACGGAGATGCTGCGCGCGAAGCAGGACGTGACGAACCGCATCATACAGATTGGCGAGAAGGTATACATATAATTATGTGTATAGGTTTTGCTTTTCATCACTAAACCTCCCACTGCGAATCACGTGTCATCATATGGCCGACCTTTTGCAGGGTCGCGAGGTCGAGAGGAGCGCGAAGCGCCTGCAGCAAAACGAGCAGTCGTTGGCCGCCGATTTTCGCGCGGCGATCTCGAAGCTGGCCTCGGCCGAGCAGTACGAGCTGGTCAGTTCGGCTCTTCGGGCCCTGGAGACCGAGAGCCGGGAGTTCCAACGAGAGAGCGGGGAGAGGGAGAAGTCGGACTCGGAAATCGAGCTGAGGTCCGAGAAGAACAAAAGGGAGGACGAGCTCCGGAGGAGGCTCGAAGAGCTCGAGGCGGACAATCGGACTCTGGCTGCGAGCATGGAGGAGTTGGACAGGCAGAACGCGGAGTCCATTGGTAATCCACGCGATGGCACTCCGTTGAGATTTCACGTTGGGATTACCGGCTGATTACCACGGGGTGGAGGGGTTTGACGATTGACGTTTGGCACTGATGTACATTAATTGTTGCCTCTAAATCCATAGTATTGCATAAGCTTAATTGCCGTTTGAAATAGTTCAACGTCAAACATTTGAGTCCTCCTTCTGTACTTTTTTTTTAAATGAGGCTATGGATGGGTATGGATAATTGACACATCAAAGCCTAACGTCGTCACGTTATTTTCACAAGACCAGAATCCTTTAGGATTCCAGGTGGTAATCCCTAAGGAAAATTTCTACTGGACAGTCAAATGACCGAGGACCAATTTTGTTCCAGAACGCGTCCTGTCGCTGAAGGAAGAGCTACAGAAGAAGCACCACTCGCTACAGAGCGCGTACGAGCACCTCTACGTTGATTACAACCAAGCCCTAGGGACGATCGAGACCCTCCAACAACAGAATTATGAGCCATCGAAGCCGCCCACCAAGGAGTCCCTGAACTCCGCTGTCCAGACTACAATGCCACTTACGGTGGACCAGGAGACCGAGGTGACGGTCAGCAAAGAGGACAAGGGGACCGAGGCGACGGTCAGCAAAGAGGACAAGGGGACCGATGCGTCCCTCGACAACCAAGAAGAGCCCCAGCTCGACGCGTCGGCCGAACTGAGGAAGGTCCAGGAGGTCGTGAAAAACAGCTCCCTCCAAATCCCCGGTCGGGACGAGCCAAGCGGCTCCAGCTCCGAGGACTCGTTGTTCGTGAGCCTGGCCAAGAGCGCGGTCGAGCTCAAGTGGCAGCGGGACGCGCTCGAGCACAAGTTCACGGGGCAGTGCCGCGAGTTAAAGGACAGCCACGAGCTGAGGGACGCCCTGCAGATGGACTGCGAGGACTTGCAGCAGAACGTCGAGTCGCTGCTCGTCGAGGTGCAGCGGCTCAAGTCGAACCTGCCGTCCATACCCGAGGCGAGCGAGGAGCGGGTCGCCTCCCTCGAGACCGAGACCGAATCCCTCCAGGCGGAGGTGCGCAGTCTGCGCGAGATCAACGCCAAAATGTCCCGGGAGCTCAGGGCCATCCGGGAAGCTGTCAGGGACTCGGGGGCCGAGATTGACGTCGCGGCGAGGATCGAGGCTCTGTTGACCGACAGGGAGCACCTCAGCAGGGACGATCCCGCGGAGATGTTGCGCGTCGCGTTGGACGAGAACGTAAGTCTGCGGCGCAGGGTCGACGCCATGGAGAGCGAGCTGCGGGTGTCGGTCGAGCGGTGCAAGGGTATAGACGAGAACCTCGAGCTGATCGAGGAGTTGAAGCTCGACGTGGAGAACGCGAGGCGCGAATTGAAGATCGCGGCTTCGAGCAGCAAGCGCCTCGAGAACTCGCTCAACATTCTCCAGGAGGCGAAGATCGAGGTAGACACCGAGAACGAGGTGTTGGCGCGCGAGAAGGAGCAGCTCGAGGCCGATCTGAGGCTGCTGCGCGACTCGGACCTCAAGCACGGGGACGCCGAGGCGCTGGCAAAGCTGCGGGACGAGCTCACCAGAGGCCGTGAGGAAAAGGACGACCTCGAGTACGACCTCATGAAGATGAGGCAGGAGCTGGACCGGGCGTTCGTGGAGCTCGAACTCGCGAGGACGGGGGCCGAGGAGCTCCGGGCCAACGGCGACAGACTGGCCAGGGAGAATGCCAAGCTGCAGGACCAGTTCGCGGAGGCTCAAGCCGAGAACCAGGACAAGCTCGAGCTCCTCAACACGGAGATGTCTCTGCTGAAGCAGGAGCTCGACGGTTGCAGGGAGGAGCTCGAGTCCGCCTTGGAGGCTCGGAGAGTGGCCGAAGAGAGGGTGGCGGTGCTCGACACCGCGAACAAAGACGGCGCCACCAAGATGGACAGCTTGGAAGTGGAGAATCGCCGCTTGACGGGAGCACTGGACGAAAGCACGAGCAGCTTGGGTTCGACCACGGAAAAACTGAGGACCAGCGAAGAGAGAAACTCGGCCCTGGAGAGTGAGAACACGGAGCTGAAGAGCGAAAATCAAAGGCTGGTTGAGAAAATCGACGAGATGAGGAACAAAGTACTCGAACACAAGGAGGAGATCGGCAGGCTGGAAGAGAAGCTCAAGTGCGCCGAGACGTACAGATCGACTACTGAGTCCGAGTTGGCAAAGCTAAAAGTGGACGTGATGGAGTTCAGGAGCTCTGGGAGAGAAATCATTTCCACGCAGCTGCAGGCGGAGCCAAGGGAGGTCGAATCCAACGGGGTGCCTGGTAAAATTCGGGACGAGGCCGACGGAGAAGACCGGCCAGTCGAGACGGTGGATCCCGACAGTCGGCAGGAGCTTATGAGCTTGCAGCTCGCGGAGAAGTCGAAGGAAATCGAGGAGCTGAGAGCGACGATGGCAAAGGACAAAGAGTCCGTCCTGATGGCCCGCGAGACCGTCGAGAACCTGTCCCAGCTGATAAGCGCCAAGGACGCCGAGATAGCCAAGACGAGCGCGTCGCACGCCCTGCTGAGCGAAGAGCGTGGCAAGCTCGTCCAGCTCGTGCAAGAGAAACACTCGGAGAGCTTGCAGTACCACGCCGAAATCCAGAGACTGACTCACTTGTTGGGTGAGCAGAACACCAAGCTGCAAAAGATCACCGCCGAGCGGGACGCTGGCGCCGCGGCGCTCCAGGAGAAGGAGACCCAGCTACTCTGGACGCAAAACGAGATGCAGGTGCTGAGACAGCGTCTCCAGGAAGTCGAGGAGGCGGGCGACCACGTCGAGCGCTGCAGTCTTCCCGAGCACAGTGTCCTGGGCAAACGGACCTCGGAGCTGGAGGAGAAGAATAAGGCACTGGAAGCTGCCGTTATTCAGGACCAGACGAACATGCGCTACCTTCAGGAGCAGCTGGTGGAGGCACAGAGCAAGGAGTCGGCCGCTTTGAAGGAGGTCGAACGGCTGCGCAACCACTTGGTCGAGATCGAGGCCAATTACACGGAAGAGGCCTTACAGACCGAGGAGATCCGTAACGCTCTGGAGGCTAGGTTGGTGCAGGCTGAGGAGAAGCTGAAGAACAGCTCGACCATGTACACCTCGGCCAGCGTCAGGGCGAACCAACAGGTCGAGACTCTGCAGCAGCAGCTCGCTCTGATCGTTCAGCAGAGGGATGATCTGCAGAACAAGATATCCGCGGCCGAGGATAAGGTGCTCTCGTACACGGCCTCGTTGACGAATCTACAGCTGGTTTTGGAGCAGTTCCAGAGAGGTAAGCAGCCGTGTGGTTTTTTTTTTCTTACAAAGTGGGAACTACAATTTGAAATGATATTTTAGATAAAGAGAAGGACATTCAAGAGGCGACGACAAAGTTACGTGCTCAGCTTCAAGACTCTTACAGAGAGCAGGAGGCGCTCAGGAACGACATTATCAATCTCAAAGTTCGTTTTGCTCGTCCCGTGTGTTATTGGGTGGGTTTGGAGTGAGACTGATCACACGTTTTTTTTCTACAGGCAGAGTTATTGGAAGCCAAGGACGCGCTGAAGGCGGCCTCGAGACTGACCGAGGAGCTGGGGAAGAAATCGGAGCGCATCGAGGAGCTCGGCCAAGAAGGTTTGCTTTGACTCGTTTTTTTTTTTTTTTTTACTCTTTGGATCTTTTGTTGCACTTTATTTTCCTCTTCACGCTCTTTGTGTGTGATAGCTTCTGTTCTGCTGCTTTCTTTTATTACGTATCGCTGTCCGTTTATCCTTTTAGTGCATGGACTTTGATTCATATTTGATTATTCTTATAGTAGCCTTGTTTGTTCAAGTCCACGTGAATTTTACATGTATACACGTGGAATCAACCACACACGGAAATGCTAAGTTTTCAGGTCTAGATTTTATTTAAAATATATGATACTTGAAGACTTGTGGTTGAAAGAAAAGTATTCAGTAAATTGGACACTTTTTTAATTTTCTTTTTAATAGTTTTTAATAGAACTTTAGTATTTTTTTCACACGCATCAGTAAAAAGTAAATTTAGAATTTCCAAATGTAGTTGATTCTGCACGTGAACTCGAGCGACGGGATCCTTAACTTTGTTTCACTGCACATTGTTCGGTAAAAGCTGCTGTCAATGAACTTGTCGACGAGTATTGTTCTCGCTGTACTCAACAGATTTTCCTCTTCGAATTTCTCTGAATTCTCCGTAATATTTACCAAATTTTCTTCACAAACAGCAAAATTTCGTTTTCTGTACTGTGAATGCTGGGCGGCCCTCATCCTATTTTTGGATCCGATAAAAAAAAAATGACTAATTCTCGCACATTGGCATTAATCCATACACGAGCAAAAAAAAAAAATGCAACAATAATTGCCGCAATCAAAGCCACAGTATCAGCGAAAATTTTTATGCAAGAGCACGAATTCACACACAAAACGCACGACATCGCCTGCGTCCAGTCACGTAGTCAAATATCAGCTGGTAATTCTGGGATTCTTGATTCGCAGCCCCAGGGTTCTTGTTGGTATATGCCTACGAGCTGGCTCTTCGCCTGCCTATACAAATCGCACTTCACTTAAGAATGGAGTTACTCTCGAGGACGCATATAATACCACACAGTTCACCACATGCATATTCTTTCATATTTTTTTTATAAATCGTCGGTGCTGGTTTTTAGATTTTATTGGCTGTTTGTTCCTCGTGCGGAGGGATCATGAAATTATGTGGCTGGGCTTTAACTGGATTAATCCCTGATGTTCAAGGCAAACTAATCAAACGTTCCGATCTGTTTGTGGGCTGTATCGCTGCATTTGAGTTGGAAAAACATACATGTGTAACGATTAATTTTTAAACAATGGTTTTTCAAGCTCAAAGTCACCTTTGAAAAATAATGGCGCATTCATGAGATTTGTGTTTTTTTTTTTGGTTTTTCATAATATTTTTTGCTTCGATAATCAAATTTTTTTTTTTTTTTTTTTTTTTCATCAAACATTGAAATTTTTATTCATTAAGAAAAGAAAAGTAAGTAAGATATTGAAGCGGGAACAAAATTACCTCGGATACAAGAATCAGAAAAAAAAAAAAAAACTGTTCGGATAATCGCACAAAGCAATACTTGGGACGAATTTTGGGTAGCGCCTGAGTGGCTAATCTCATGTGGTAACTGTGAGTGTGTGTACTTTACTCATATTACCTCGTGGGGTTGGCCACCCGCTACCGCGATTCTACGAAATTGTTCGAGGGCCGTTTTTTTCTGTAGCCCAGCCCACGCGTGATTATTTTTCATTTTTATGCCTCGTACCTACTAATTTATACTTTCGTTTGGAATCATTGATATGCGTTGTAATGTATGATAATTGTTAATAATTTTGCAGTAGTATTTTTTAAATTTCCTAGGCTTTAATGGTACGACGATCCGTGTCGATGTGTATTATTCGAGTACACTGGAACGAGAAAAATTTGTATTAGAAAATATTGTAATTATTAGATTATTAATAATTCCCCTAGATAGAATCCTGGTGAAGTGTAGATTTGCAATTGGCTTGTTTTTTGGTATATAAAAAAAAGTCTTTGGATTAAACGTAACATGAACATGATATTTCGTAGACAAAACTAACTAGAACTAGATGCTATAAAAAGCTTATGCACATACATTTTTATTTTTTTAATGATCAATCCTAACATCGATCGAAAATAAGCAAAATTTGTGTCATCAGGGTTCTAGTGTTTAATATTGCAACGAAACAATTGCAATCAAAATTGTATTATCAACTGATTCAAGTTTCCAATAAAAATTAAATCAAGTTTTATGGTTGATGAAAACAATTTTTAATCAATAGTTGAATTACATTTATTACTTTCAAAACTTTTTATATTTAAAAAATTTTTTTTGTTGATTAAAAATTGTTATGATTATCAATGAAATTTAACTTTCAATTAAATTGTTGTTTTAATAAGTTATTAATTATAGTTCCTAGTCGAGCGAAAATCGAATTGAGATTCAAATAAATAATTTATATTCCTGCTTGTAATGTCGAAACGTTATATTGTACTCTGCATGATATTTTATTTATTAATCAATGTAATAATAAACTTTCAAGAATCTCTTACACTTTCGGCTTGTAAGTTGCGAAAAGTTATATCACACACTTAGTATCAGCATGATTTGACGGCTTACAGAGAAAACAGTCCAGTCAGATAATAATCGAATTGTTTAGTTCACACAAAGGCATGCAAAACTGAAAAAAAAAGTAAAACATGAGAATGCAGCATGCGCTCAAGCGTTGAAAGTGCCAAAATCCTGTAGAAACAGTGCAAAATTCGAATGCCAAAAAAAAAAAAAAAAAACAAGTCGAGAGGGGGGTGTGAGTATTACATCAGGTACTGGTGTCTTGATCACTGCAACCAGTACTTGTGTTATACTTGCGTTCGACTCTCAATGATCCTCCTCCGCTGCCTATCGAATGCGAGAGCCGTAGTACTTACTGTCCACGCAATGCCGCCCATTTGTACATGTGCATTTGATTGATTTTTGTAATATTAATTAAGTATACCTGCCGTTGTTATTTCACATCAGTAACTTTTGCTGCATTTCGTAGATTTTAATTTATTTACTAATTTTAATAATTCGTAAGTAGCGACGGTATATTTTTTAGTATGTATATGCGGCTTGCAGGCCGTAGAAATCGGTATTGCTTTTTTTTTCGTAACATGTGTATATTGTATAGTTCGTAAATGTATATCTTAGCGCAACCTAAGTGAAAATGATTTTAACGAATAACTGAAGATAAGTGATATTTAGGATCCGATTGTAAAAATTAATAAATTCCAGATTGAAACTGAGAATAAAGTTTAAATAATAATTGTTATCGGTTACTTACTATTTTTTTACTTTCGTTCTGAATGAAATCTGTGAAAGTAATAGAAAAAGTAAGTTACTACGAAGTTTTCAAGAAACTTATAATAATTTTTATAAATTATAGCTAATTGTTAAAGAAAATTATTTCCTCATATTTTTCAATTCAAATTTTACAAAGATAAAAAACAAACAATAATAAATAAGTCTTGGAAACAGTCATAAATAGCATGTAATAGATTAATGATGAATATTATTACTGTCTTAAATCTATAGTCTTTATTAATTGTTATCATTTTATTTTATTTTTAAGAATAGTTTAAATAATGAGATTGTTTTTGCTTGAGAATTCATACAGAGAAAGTTTTTGCAATTGTTTCATACAACCAGACTTATAGAGGGCTGTCTTTGAAATAATATGGTGTGTGTCTTTAACGAAATGTTTTAAGATCTCTAATTTTAATTGTGCTCAAATCCGTCCACAGCACGATGGATATAATGAAAAATAGTATTTTCAAAATTAAGTAAAATTATAATTGCAAAAAATTCTCATATTTTTTAAATTATAATGATTATTTTGATATTTATGTAACTTGTACGAGTAGAAATTAAAATTAAAGTTAACATGTACACTTTCCATTATAATCATATATTATATATACGTATATATTTGTAAAAATTTTTACATTATTTTAATAAATCCAATGTTAAAGGTGAGAATGAAAAAATAACCCTTTTTTTCTCATTTATAGTTAATAAGCTGACTGAGCTCGTCAACACGGCCGACCAACGTATCGAGGAAGCGAAAAAGAGCGGCGAGGGAAAAGTCGACAAGTAATAAAAATCTTTATAATTAACGTCAAGTGATATTACCTGATTCTGGACTACTAATAAGTATTTTTTTCCATTCACAGAACTCTCATCAAAAATTTACTGCTGGGATACATATCGTCACCAGCAAACGACAAATTATCAGTGCTAAGGGTCTGTGCCAATGTTCTTGACTTCAACAAGTCGGAAAGAGAAAAATCTGGTCTCGACAGTGGATCTGCGAAAAACAGCTGGTTCGCGTCCTTAGTAAACAGCGGCTCGTCTTCTGGCACGGTAAATTTCGTCGAATGATTGAAATAAATATTTCTTCTTACAAGTATTTTTTCTCAAATATTGCATGTGAGTGATTGATACAAATATTTCAGGATCAAGAAGCCTCCTTATCGACAGCGTTTATTAGGTTTTTGGAAAACGAGTCACAGCCTAAAGTACAATTGCCAGCCATGCAATTGTCGAATTCGGTAAATTTCAAAGAATCACTGGATTTATTATTTCAATTAATTACAATGTTTTGAGTTTACAATGAGTTTTCGTGGGTTTTCAGCCGATCAATCGGCCAGGACACAGTCGACAACATTCGTCATCATCGACTCAATCATCCCTTTTGTTGACAAATATCAATCTTCCAACATTCCCAGACTTTGTTCCAGCGAGAAATACTGGTTCAATTTTAAAAGAAGTTCTTAAAGACAGTTGATATTAAATACCGTTAGTTTATGAAACGCATATTATTTTCTTTTAGAGTACCTATTTTTTCTTTAGGTTTATTGTATTTTTGTGGGACTTTTTAAGCGCTTGTTGTATTTAACTGCTGTAACTAAAATTTGTAAATAAAAATATATAAAAATTTGTATCATAGAAAATTGTACTCTTGCAAAATAAATTTTCGGATAAAAGTAACTAATCTATGTATAATCAAAATACACTTTAAGGTATTTATATAGGTCATTATAATACATTTACTGAAATAACAATTGTTGACTATCTTCGGCAAAAACATCTACGACTTTGCATCACAGAAATGAGAAAAAATTGATGGATACGTATATGAAACCGATATTTTTGTAAACAGTTGGTCGATCGGGTTTGGTGCATTATAACGTATTGTCAGGTAATTCGTTGCCTTGTAACTCCGAGATTCCTTGAAATCCTCTTCCACGATCTTCAGACATCCTTCGCGATGATTTTTTGCATACACTTGCACACTGTGTAAAAATTATAGCTCAACAATCCTCACTACGTATACATTTAATCGTTACTCAAGATTTCTGTAACACAAATTTTGCTACGTACATACGTATTATATTAGTTAACTGTTTATTGAAACTACAAAATTTAAGGGCTGTGCATCCATGAATTAATGGTTAAAGGTCTAAAGTATTCTAATTTTGTAAATACGGTCGATTTTGTAAGCCATATAAAATAAGTAGAATTTTTCAGCTATTGGAGGTCGGTTTTCGGGTAAAAGATAGATAAACTTGCCGCAAGTAGCATAAAAAATGTCAGCTATTTATCGTATATTTATAAGATTATTTGCGGCTGGTTTATAATTGATAAAGTGACTTTACTGTAAATAGCAATAATTATTTGGATCAGCGCCATCTAGCGGTCTTTATTTTTTGGCCAAAAGTGGCTCCTAAAATTCTCCATCAGTGCAATCATGATTAGAGCAATTTAGTCAATTACAAACCAGCCGCAACTCATGGTGAAGCTATAAAATAAAAAAGTAACGATACATGTGTTTTTGGCGGCAAGTTAACAATCTATCTTTTGCTCGAAAATTTATCTTCAAAAGGATAAATACATAGGAGGTCAATTTTTTGGTAAAAAATAGATTGTTGACTTGCCGCCAAAAACACATGTATCATTATTTTTTCATTTTATAGCTTCATCATCAGTTGCGGCTGGTTTATAATTGACTTAATAGCTCTAAGCTCAAATGCTCTGCATCAAAAGATTAGGAGCCACTTTTGGCCAAAAAATAAATATCGCTAGATGGCGCTGATCCAAATAACTATTACTATATACTTACAGTAGAGCCACTTTATCAACTATAAACCAGCCGCAACTGATCTCATAGATAGACAATAAAAAGTTGACGTATTCTGTGCTATCTGCGGCAAGTTTACTATTTATCTTTGAGCCAAAAATCGACATGTAAAAGTATAAATATTCTACTTATCTTAGATGGCTTATAAAATCAACCACATGAAAAAAAATTACAATACCTTAAGCTTTTTATCATTAACTTATGGAAGCACTTATGGATAGTCCACAGAAGCTGATCCTACCAATCCTACCTTGGTTAATTTTTTAATTGAAATGACCTTGTATGTACACTGTTAAATGATTTTAAATATTGAAAGTTAACAAGTTGTTTTATATAATACATTCATTTTGATTAATCCTTAAAAATAATGTAATGGTCTATGTTGGATTAAAAAAATTTCAGTGTTATGTTACAGTGCAATGTATCACACATTCATGTTGTGAGGTTTTAATATTACAATAACAAAGTTTGATAACACACAAGTTAAAAGTTTCAACTAGCATCACAAATAGAAGAATATTAGAGACATTTGTGAACTAATAAGATTTACCAACGAGAAAAGTGAAACATAAATCTTGATAAAACGTTTGAATAAAGCAATTGTTTAAGTTTCATAACTTTTAATCATAACAGTTGATACCGTTAATATGCATTTGCTGTTTTAAAATTTGGTTTTTCCTTGTTTCAATAAAAATTTGTGTTACAGAAATCTTGAATTACGATCAAATATATAAGTACGTAAATTAATCAGTCGAAAAGAGACAACTGAAGAAAAAAGGCCTAAAAAAGAAGTACAGTCACAGGAAGAGTCTCCTAAGAATGGAGCATTGGATCTCATATAATCAGAGAATGTTGGGTTCTTTGTTTATTTATAAGACTTAAAATTTACTTTTCTGTAATAAATGTATTTTTTATTTAGTAAAATCCAATGCTCCGTTCTTAGGAGACTATTCGTGTGACTAAAACTCTTTTTTAAGCCTTTTTTCTTGAGTCTGATTAATTCACGTATGTGTTTATCGTTATTCGAGATTTCTGTAACACAATACATATCATATAAGTTAACTGTTTATTTAAACCATAAAAATTCAAAGGGCTGTGCTTCCATAAGTTAATGATAAAAAGCTTAAGGTATTGTAATTTTTTTTCATGTGGTTGATTTTATAAGCCATCTAAGATAAGTAGAATATTTATACTTTTACATGTCGATTTTTGGCTCAAAGATAAATAGTAAACTTGCCGCAGATAGCACAGAATACGTCAACTTTTTATTGTCTATCTATGAGATCAGTTGCGGCTGGTTTATAGTTGATAAAGTGGCTCTACTGTAAGTATATAGTAATAGTTTGTGGAGGCCTGGGCTAGGTTGCCCCAGGATGTCTCCGACGCCTTCGAGGAAACCAGGAGAGATATCGGAGAGAGGTCTGCAAATCAGTACAAAGAGCCTTGGGTTAAATATATGTTTATTGGGCTACAAAATGTACAGCTCCGCCGTGTAAGGCGATAGAGCGAAGACTGACTATGTCGACGAGCAAGCCGGCTACGAGCGGCACGATATATATAACTTCGCGTGGAGGGGGAATCGTCCCCTACTCTGCTAGCGCTTAGCAGGCCGATATCCCCACAAGTTATTTGGATCAGCGCCATCTAGCGATATTTATTTTTTGGCCAAAAGTGGCTCCTAATCTTTTGATGCAGAGCATTTGAGCTTAGAGCTATTAAGTCAATTATAAACCAGCCGCAACTGATGATGAAGCTATAAAATGAAAAAATAATGATACATGTGTTTTTGGCGGCAAGTCAACAATCTATTTTTTACCAAAAAATTGACCTCCTATGTATTTATCCTTTTGAAGATAAATTTTCGAGCAAAAGATAGATTGTTAACTTGCCGCCAAAAACACATGTATCGTTACTTTTTTATTTTATAGCTTCACCATGAGTTGCGGCTGGTTTGTAATTGACTAAATTGCTCTAATCATGATTGCACTGATGGAGAATTTTAGGAGCCACTTTTGGCCAAAAAATAAAGACCGCTAGATGGCGCTGATCCAAATAATTATTGCTATTTACAGTAAAGTCACTTTATCAATTATAAACCAGCCGCAAATAATCTTATAAATATACGATAAATAGCTGACATTTTTTATGCTACTTGCGGCAAGTTTATCTATCTTTTACCCGAAAACCGACCTCCAATAGCTGAAAAATTCTACTTATTTTATATGGCTTACAAAATCGACCATATTTACTTAATACAATACTTTAGACATTTTACCATTAACTTATGGAAGCACAAATTAATCAGTTTATAAGAGACAACTGAAGAAAAAAGGCCTAAAAAAGAAGCTCAGTCACACGAAGTCTCTTAAGAATGGAGCATTGGATCTTACTAAATAAAAAATACATTGATTACAGAGAAGTAAATTTTAAGTGTTATAAATAAACAAAGAACTCAATCTTCTCTGATTAAATGAAATCCGCTTTGAAGATTAAGATTAGTTGCAGCTGAAAATCAAAATGAATGTCAAGTTAAGCAATGAACTTGTTTCAAAATTAGAATTATTATTTACTAACGAATTTAGAGGATATTGTGTGTGAAATAACAAAAATTTGTTTGTCGATCAACGAACACTTTTGTTTTATTACAAAAAACAAACTTACAAATAAATTTTCGTACAGTCTTGAAAACACTTAAGTTTAATGGGATAACTTAATAATTATGAAAGTAAGGCCGAAATTCATGACTATTATTCAGTTTAAAGTACGAAATCTAATAACTTAAAAAAAAAATACTTTAGTAAATTTACTTTTTCTTTTCACATTTTTTTGAATCACACTTTTCTGTGGACTTCTTTTCGGATTCACGAATCGCTGGTTTTCCGGTGTGCTGCACTGAAATAACTTTTTCATTGGTCACTTTTGGTTGTTCTTTGCGTGGAGCCGTGATGGAAAGTACTCCATCAGATGAAAGACTGGAGGTAACCGAGTCGATGTTGCACTGTTCTGGGACCATGTACTTTCGAATGAAGTGTCTTGAAATTGTGCCATGCTCATCTTTCTTTTCTTCATGTTTTCCTGCAATGAAAAAAAATGCATGTCTCTTTAAGATTTGAATGAAAAATAGTCGAAATTATAAATATATTGGTCGAAAGAAAACTTAATTTCGATCAAAATTGATCAGGAAGAAAAAAAAAATGTGTGAGAAAATTCATAATCAAACGAATTCAAAAAAATCACATTAACCGTCTTTGGGAAAAACTTGTAGAAAAAAAGTTTAAAGTTTGAATTCGTAATGCTAATAAAAAGTGACAATTACCTTCAACAACGATGTACTTGTCGACGACTTTGACGGTCACCTCCTCTGGTTTGAAATGGGCCACATCCAGTATCACTTCGAACTTATCCTGCACAAATTAAAAAAAACGAGTTTTCATTAATCACGTCTCCAAAAATGTGTAATTTGAAAGATTTTACTGTACACACTATTATTTTGCTCTACAATAATGAAAATACAGTCAGAAGCGAGAATTTTAGACAATCACCTTATCAGCTTTCACCGTGGAAGTACCGCCTCCTTCAACTTGCCGCATCAGCTCAGCCCAGGGACGATAATACGTGGACAAAGGATGTGGTCTTTTTTCGTAGGGCATCAAGTACTGCTCGAGCATGCTTGGGCGAACGAGTTGGTTGGCTGTCAAACCTAGACCGAAGTCCTGGTCCAGGAGCCGATGTGGGCGCTCCAGGTCTTGCCACCAATCAGAAAATAACAGTGGTACGAGAGACATAATTGCTAAAAAAAAAAAAAAAATTGGTTTTCGACTTAAAAATAGAACTATTATTCTTGAAAAGTTTTATATTAATTTCTTCGGAGAAAGGCCTTACCTTTCGTATGCTCAACGTTGACGTTTCCAAAGTAAAGTGAGACTGTCAGTAGATGCTTACGCTTCGATTGCTCAAATTCAACTGAAACAGAATAGCCGTGGCGTGCGTATATATATAGCCGTTGCTGTGGTTGCCGCCGTTGCCGGGTCGACGGCGTCGGCGCTCGATGCTTCTCAAAAGTTCTTGGGTTCTTCGCTCTTGCCTGCGTGCTAGAAATGTATCGAATTTTCGCGAATTTTCGATAAACAATCAGCGGTAGGGACTAAATGTAAAATGAAAATTATGAATTTATCGTTAATAACGTTTGGTAAAAGGTGTAATGCGATGATTTATTGGTTTTAGGTTCTAATACGAGTGATGAACGCATACGTTTGTTGACGTTTGCTCCAAAACTCAATCCACAGGTGACAGGTCGCTGCGGCGCATTTGACTGAATGTGTGTGTATGTGTATATACCTCATGCTTATTATAGGCTTATACACACAAAACGCCGGCTTGACATGTTTACCAATAAACGATTTGCAACGTATTCCCTTTTTTCTATGTTTTTTTCATCATTGAAGAATAATCGTGCAAGATAATCTTCTGTATTCTTAGCTATACTTAGTTTGCTTTGTCCAATGGCCTTATAGTTTAAATTTGTGACTACAATTGTACATGTATACTTAATAAGAATGTACGTAGTACGTAATAATAATTCACAATTGATACACAGACAGACGTGGTATTAGTTCCAATACACAAAACATTTAGTCAATCGACGTGTATTGTAAGTGACCATAAATAATTTCAGTGGGCACATGCATGAGTGTGAATGTAATAGCGAGTTATTATTAAATAAATATTCATGTATCAATAGTTTGTGAAAAGTTTGCTTATTTGTGGCAAATTTATTCGGAATTCTGCTAAGTATGATATGATGTAATTTGTGTATCATTTTTCTTCAAGTCGAAGTTTCTTGATTAAAGTTTACATTATGAAATAGGTTTTCGAAATCACATATGCAAATACAGTTTTATTTTTAATTGTACACTCTTTTCGCATCTTACAATACATTATCATCAACATTCAACAAAGGAAATTGAAATTATTGTGCAGATGACAACCTGATGAGAAAATACATAATAAAAATTACTAAAACATCTACCTGAGGTTCTCGACTTGTTTGTAGGCGTTAAAAGCACTTAGGTATAAGCTGGTAGGACAAGTTAAAAAATGGGTGATGAGTATGTAATATAAGGTCACTGTTAGACAATAACAAAAGCGAAAACGAATTTCGTAAGAGTCCAGTATTTTCTGGTACATTCCAGTTACTTTATTTTCTCTCCCAGTAACAAAGCTTCAAAAACCGTTGCATCGGAGAGGGAGAGAGTCACATATATGTATAGGTAAATATTATGTTTCGGATTAGGCTTAAATGTGTATTTTATAGGTATACCTTATATTACAGGTATTATTTACTGTACAACAACAGTACAGTACAGTGGTTTTTGTTTTCTTAATTACAAAATGTATGGATACATAAATCAAATGCCTTTTATCTTGAAACATTACTGTGGATCATCTGACATGTATATGACTCAACTAGGTACATTGAAATTATGGAATTATTTATAATAAAACATTGGTGGCCTATCATTAGAGATTATAGTTCATTTTATGTATGAATTACACAATGAGAGCAATCATAAAAACTGGGTGAAAAAAATTTACATAAAAATCAATCTGCAGTAGTAGTATGCTCTGTTTTTGAATTAATGTAAAAAAAAAAACTAAAAATATTTTTCAATTTCGTTAAATAAAATTTTTATTGAATTAAATTGTGAATATCAACGAATTTTTCAGAATAAACTGTATTATGTAAAAAATGAGAACATGTACTGGTTGTCCAATTGTCATGAATAAAATGATTATTATCGATTGCTGTGTACTGCTATGTATTCTAAAAATTAGTAAAAAAATATTCCTTACTTTGCTTTGATTTAGTTTTACGCAATTATTTGATATAATCATTGAAAATTGAGTAAGGAGTCAAAATGAAGACAAGGTTTTTATAGAAAAACACTCGATTTATTTTATTACTTATAAATTATCCACTTGTACTTAAATACAATCATCAATGTACAAAACTTAAGTACTACTGTTTATCTTTAAATAATTCACAACCATTAGTATCTAAATTTTCAATCTTAATAATTACTTGAAAATTTAAATGAAAATTCGTTGAAAAAACGAAAGGAACTTGAAAATGATGATGGAAAAAATGATTGAAGAATTTGAATACGAAATTAAAATGATTTAAGCAGCTTTGACTGTTGACTTCTTGCCACGCTGAGGAACTTGACGTGGTTGGTTCCCTTCCTTGGGCTGGGCATTTTCTCCAGAAGTAGAAGCTTCTGACTGAGCAATGGCTGGCTCACCAGTATGTTGAATTTTAATGATTCTTTCATTAGATTCGAGTTTCTGCTCTTGTTTCTTTGGTGCAGTGATGGTGAGTACTCCTGCAAGTAAAGTTGGATTTATTTTACTGGATGCTGTTGTGTCAAAAATTATCAAAACATTATATTAAATTTAAAAATTACTAACCGTCAGAAGACAAACGGGATTCCACTTGGTCAATATCGCATTGGTTTGGCACAAGATACTTTCGAGTAAACTGCCTAGAAATCCAGCCATGTTCATCCTCTTTCTCCTCGTGCTTGGCTTCCACAACAATGTGATTGTCTACCACCTTTACATTGACCTCCTCTGGAGAGAACTGGTTGACATCCAGATTAATGCAGAATTCGTTATCTTTGGCAGACACCACCGAAGATCCCTTGCCACTTCTACGAGCAAGACCATGGAGGAATGGATGGTAGCGTCGAAGTCTGTTGTGCAGCTTACTTGGTTTGTAAATTAATACTTCAGATCTTGAAGGGGCAATGCGATCAATGAAATCTTCCTGATCCAAAGGTAAACCAAAGTGTTGATCAAAGATATGGTGTGGACCCTCAAGGCTGTCCCACCAGTCGGAGAAGATCAGTGGTGCAAGTGACATTATGTAGTCTTTTCTTCTCTTGCTCCTAATAAAAAAAAACAAAACAAAAATTTCTTATTTTCCAGTGATACATATTATTTAGAATTTATTTGCAAGGTTTTAGTTATTTTTTCTAGCAGAATAAATTTTTTCTAATAGTAATTATCAACAAATTCAATTGAATGTAAGAAAAATACACCTAAATACTGAACTTTTAACTACATGTTTTTTAAAAGTTTACTTTGATGGTGCAGATTAAATTCATCACTGACAATTATATTGTAATTATAGTACTTACTTAACAAATTAACAGTGCAGAAACACTCTCACAAACAACCCTCGATTCAGCTTGATGACAATCTATACGTCAAGTTGTATTGAACTTTGTCGAAAAGATTAGTCAATTTTACACAGATTCGGCAACGTTTTTACACAAAGCAATGCACGTTATGCACAATACGCAATTACGTATAAAAGATTATGAAAGATACAAGTATACTTTTACTTGCTCACGACGAGACATCAACTGAAGCCGTAGGGGAACGCTCATTGCTTTTATTACTGCAGATGCAGAGACGCAGAGTCCAGGCACTGCAGGCGGTCACCGTCGGGTGGGGAGTGGGGAGACTCCGAGGGGAGTGTGTGTGACTGTGTGATGGAAGTGGGAAGAAAAGAGACGAACCTCCACGAATGTTCGAGTCCTCTCGACAGCTCTCGAGACGCTGTGTGAATTTTCCAGAATAGATCCTATAAGTACTTATGTGGGTTAATTTAACAAACACTGCGGCATTTTTAGGGGTGTAAAAAAGTGAGGTACTCAAAATTCAACATTTCGAGTTTTTCGTTTTTTTTTTTTTATTTTTACATAAAAGTCAACGAGCTAGAAACTTTTGAGCTCGACTTTACTACTGTCATTTTTCAAAAATCCATGTTTGTTTAAATAAGGTTTTTTTTAAATTAAAAAAAAAAAGGGAGACAGCAAGGTTTGTCATTACCATGTACTTTTTTGGCAAATCCAAAGCCCACATGGGAGTTTGCAACAATTGCAACGAAATTTAGCCTTTATACACTAGGTTACTTAATCGATACTTTGAAAAATCACATTACGCATTACGGTAAGTAATAATCGTTCACTTTGTATTTGCGACGAGACTGGGGTTCGGAAAAGAAAACGATCAAGTGTCCAAAAAATGATTACTTTGCCAAATATTAAACAATTTGTCTCCCGCAATTCAAAAGTATCAAAAGATCATAGAATGTAGACGCTGCCTGCTGGACAGAGAGAGAGAGATCAGAGCCGACGCAAAGAGATCAGAATTTTTTCGAACTATTTTTTACTTGTTTAATCTTTCATCATTACTTATAACTATTTTGGTGTTTCCTATAAACTTCAATCGAAAACAGCTTTTTAATACATTTACTAAATTTTTTATTTTCGTTTGGTACACTCAAATATTTATTTCTACAATCTAACGTAACAGACTTTTATAAAAATCCGCCAAACAAACCATACGTGATGTGTAGTACCAATCACACAACGAATAAAATGTATATATTTCTCATTTTCTTCAGTAGGTACTTAGTACATTTCAGCTAATTTAATCAACAGCAGTTGCTAAACAGTCGATAGACGGCTTTTACCTATGAAGTCACTGTTAATTAAAATTGTAGGTGTCACTATACTACTTAGAAGGTATACGTATGACTTTATTCATCAATGTTAAAAATTTACGCATTTATGCATACAATTTGTTTCACAAATGAAATATGTCTTGATTAAAAAATTTTTTTTCTCCTAGCACAATAAAAAAATCTCAATTTCTGTGAAGAGTAATGAAATGGCGGGGTTATGAAAATTGAATTACTCGAAGTATAAAAAAATGCTTGTTTTATTTAAGTTTACAAAATAAAATATTTAGTACACTTAGTTACTTGGAATCACAACTTACTTTTATCAAACGAAATTAACTCATATATAAAAGTAACTTTGATCTTTGTTTCACAAGATTAGTTATGTTAAATAGTTTTAGTTGAATGTTGTTAACGGAAAACAATATTAATGAAGAAAAGCTTCATTTGTTCTCTTCCTCAGTTTTCTTTTCTTGTTCTTTGATGGCTGGCTTGCCGGTATGCTGGATGTTAATAACGCGCTCTCCCTCGACTGCCGGCTTGTCTTTGCGAGGAACACAGATGGTAAGGACGCCGTCTGAGCTGAGTTTGGACTCTGCTTTTTCTATATCGCACTCATTAGGGACCAGGTACTTCCTGGTGAAATTTCGTGAGATGAACCCGTGTTCGTCTTGCTTCTCCTCGTGTTTTCCCTCGACGACGATGTACTTGTCAACGACCTATAAATAAAACAAACTTCTTTAATGAATGTGCTAATTTCTGCTGAGAGAAATTTTATACATCATGATTCACGCGCTATTTTAAGATATTACAATTTTTTTGGGTGCTATTTACGCTCCTGCTCTCACCAAATAAAAACTCGGAAGAGAAGACCAATGTACAGTGAATGGGCGCATAAAAATAAACTTTTCGCGGAAACCGTGAATAGGAGGCACGATATACGATTACATCAACATGTGTACATATATCTATATCGGGTATAATAATTTTTTTTTTTTTTTTCATTTTTCAAAGCTATAATTTTACTCAATGCAAGATTCGTATAACTGATGGAATCAAAAATAATTGACGTAGTGAATCGCGGTAAAAACCAGGAGAAAGGATACTTTTTATAAAAAAAAAATAGAAAGCAATAAAAATTGCTCACCTTTACGTTGATTTCATCAGGGGCAAATTGCATGCAATCCAATTGGACTTGGAAGGCATCCTGTAAAAACAAAATTTCAACAAATCTTTTAAAATACGGTGTACTCACTCAAGTACTTAAATGAGAGTGTCTCTGTACATACCTTATCAGCCTTGACAGTTGAGACACCGGATTCATCATTGCGCCTGAATAACTCGGACCAGGGCCGGTAGTAGTGGCCATAATTGCTGGGCCTGAGGCTACTGTTGAAACGATGACGGGAAGGTCTCGGGTCGTCGAAGAAGTCTCGAGGAATCACGGCCAGACGGTCCGGGTTCAAACCCAAACCGAAATATTGGTCACGCACGTGGTGCGGCCTCTCGAGATCTTCCCACCAGTTGGAGTAGAGCAGAGGAAGGAACGACATCTTCTCCGGGTAGGGCAAGATTGCAGTGGTTTCAAACTTTGAAAGACGCCGGTACTTTGATACGAATTCGGCAAAGGCTCAAAAGCTACTAAAGTTGGGGAGAGGTTCACCCGGCACTTCGCCACTTCCTTCGCACTCTCCGCAGTAAACTGTTGAAACTGTTGTCGTGGGTCGTGCCGCGTGCACACGTATACATACCATACATATACAGTCTACGAACTTGAAGCTAATACAATAAAAAAAAAAAAAAAAAAAATACTGAGATACGTGATTTTGATTGCAAATTTTATTTATTCAAACGGTTAGATTTGCTCAACTCTTCTACGGTGTGACCAAAAAAGTGATACCCGTCTGGCGGCAAATTCAAACGTACTAATATCAATACAAGTTCTCACACTTTACCCCAAGTGCTTTAACTCCATAATCTGTACTGTAAAGGATTTAAACTTAAATGTGTGAAAAATTGAAATAACTATCGTCGTTAAAAAATGAGATGCAAAATATAAATTTGTAATAAAATTATTCACTCCCAAGCTCTGAAGCCCCTTCACATTTTACCGCAAGTGCATAAGCTCCACAACCCTGCATGTACTTTATGCAAATCAAACGTAATTAACTAAGGCATGCAATTAAATTAGTTACATTTAATTAACTAGTTATAGTTCATAACTATTTATAATTTTTCCTAAAAGATGGTAGAAACTTACTATGTTGTAACTTTATGACGTCAACAATCACGGAAAGTTGCATATTCCAAATATTAGTAACTTTTAACCTTGGTAAACTATTTTATGAAGGTGATCTTATGATGTGCAAGTCGTTTGAATTTTTTTTTTGCCATAACGTGTTCTATAAATTCTTACTACTAAAAAATAAAAGTAACTATAGTATTATAAGTCCCCCCCCTCCAGGTCATTGAGTTTGAACCCTTTGGAGTA